TGTGTGACTCATCACCTGGTCCCACCGGCTCCCTCTGGCACAGTGCTGGGCAGCATGGGGCCTGGGAGCGACAGGCAGAGTCCCAGCCCAGGCCTGGCCCCAGAGGAGGTCCCAGGCTGGCAATGACAACGCAGCACCTGGGGACACAGGCAGGGTGCTGTGGAAGCACAGAGGAGGATGCACTCAGCACCTCAGGAGTCTCAGCAGGACTCACAGAGGAGGCGACATCATCAAAGAGAAGAATGGAATTGGCCAGGCAGCAGTCGGAGGGAAAAAGGGGAGGGCACTCCTGGCCATGGAAGAAGCAGAAGCTGAAGATGGAAGCGTCTGCAAGGTGCTGGCCAGGTGCCTGCCGTCTGCTGCCTGGTGAGCACTCTATCAATGTGAGGCATTATCACTGAGGCCAATTACTGTTATCATTATTATTATTTTTTCTTTAAAAAAGATGACCCGGGGCCGGCCCGTGGCTCACTCGGGAGAGCGCGGTGCTGATAACACCAAGGCCGCGGGTTCGGATCCTATATAAGGATGGCCGGTTGGCTCACTGGCTGAGCGTGGTGTTGACAACACCAAGCCAAGGGTTGAGATCCCCTTACCGGTCATAATGATGCCCCCATCACAGCCTCCTCCCCTCATCCTGAAGAACCACTTTCCTGCATTTTTTTTTTATGACCGGTAAGGGGATCTCAACCCTTGGCTTGGTGTTGTCAACACCACGCTCAGCCAGTGAGCCAACCGGCCATCCTTATATAGGATCCGAACCCGCGGCCTTGGTGTTATCAGCACCGCGCTCTCCCGAGTGAGCCACAGGCCAGCCATCATTATAATTACTAACCTGGACATGTTACTTAATGTTTTTACGTAGTTACTTCAATGAATAAATGTCTAACATCACTGAATTCTTCTCATCTGCAAAAGGGGCTGTTGTGAGTTTCGGGGTATGTCATGCTCAGTGCTCAGCTGGAGGGATTACAGGCATGTGAGGTGCCTGCCCAGCATTAGGTGTGAGCTGACATGCAGTAGGAAACCTAGTGTTCCCTCTGTCCTCAGCCTACCAGCCCCTGGGGTTGCTGCACCTGGGGGGCACAGAGAAGGGGACACTTTGGGGTCTTTGTAGATGACCAGGCAACAAAGCGGGTACATGCCTAGGTGAGGTCAGGCAAGCCCAAAGAAACAGCCTCAGGACCCACTAGAAATGTACATTCTCTCCTCCCTAGGGTCTTTTGTGGCCTCCCTGAACAAGCAGGTGTCCATAGGGAGATTGACTGCCTTGGAGACAGCTGTATGAATTCCAGCTCCACCAGCTCCTGAACCTTTCTGAATCTCTGAGCAAGTGACTTGCCCTTTCTGAATCTCTGAGCATCCATTTCCCCAACTCTACAACTGCATTAAGACATGTACCACAATATCCAAAGCACACTCTTTGTGATAGCAAAAAAAAAAAAAATCCTAGAAGCAACATCCAACAACAGGTGAAAGAATAAATTACCAGTGGTAGAGTCATAAAATGAAATACGATTCAGAAGTAAAATAAATAAATTATAGGTACGCAGGCAATAGAAATGGATTTTTAGAGTTGGCCAGTTAGCTCACTTAGGAGAGCGTGGTGCTGATAACACCAAGGTCAAGGGTTCAGATCACTATACTGGCCAGCAGCCAAAAAAAAAAAAAAAAGAAAGAAAGAAATGGATTTTTAAAAATATAATACTGTGTGAAAAAGTAAGTCACATAATTATAGAATTATTGCATTTATGCAAAGTAAAAAAAAATAGCAAAACTAAACAATATACTATTTAGGGATTCATACAAAGGTGGTAAAACTAAAAGAAAAGCAAGAGAATGACTAGCACAATTAAAATTCAGGAAAGTGGGGCAGCCCGTGGCTCACTGGGTGAGCGTGGTGCTGACAACACCAAGTCAAGGGTTGAGATCCCCTTACCGGTCATAAAAAAAAATGCAGGAAAGTGGTTCTTCAGGATGAGGGGAGGAGGCTGTGATGGGGGCATCCAGAGGGCCTCAGAGGTACTGGCACTAATCTATTTTTTAAGTTAGGTGATGGATATTGGAATTTTCATCATTATTATTATTTTTTAAGCGATACATGTATAGTTGTGTCTATGGTGTCTTTTACAATGAACTCTTCTTTTATTATAACACCCAACAGGATGCATGACTGTGATAAGGCAAAAATAATGTAAGTAAGTAAAGTACTGGCATACAGTAAGCACTTAGTTTTGAATGGTTTGAATCCCTGGGCCTCAATTTCCCTATCTGCAAAGTGAGTTGGTGGCCCTCTGAAGGCTTTGTCCTCTAGATTGTGGGCTCTGTGTTGCCTTTCACACACACACAAACACAAACATACAGTGAAAGCTAGACTCCCCTCTGTCCTAGGTCACTGGTGGTTTCCAAAGTGGCAAAGGTGGCACCTGATGCACTGGAATGGCAGCTTTTGATCCTGGATCCCAGTCTTTCTAGCTGGGGCAATTTAGCTTTTTTTGAATTTCTCAAAGTGAACATGAGCATAATAACCTCGGTCTTCCTCACCTAAGCCCATGGAAATATACTGTAAAGTGCTGTGCCCACATGAGGGATCATAACTGATTGACTTGGGAACTTAAAAGCATCCTCATGGAGGGGTGGGTGCTTCCTACAGTGGGAGAGTCAGGTGAGTTTTGTAGCTTGGGTAACAGTATTTTTTCGTGAACGCACACATGGTGATTGGTGTAAATATTCCTCCTTTGCCTGGTTTTCCACCTTGGTCATAGTGTATCTGCTAGTTGTACCTGCCTTTCTATCCTGGTAAGGTACTTATTTCAGAAAAAGTGTACTTGTCCCTGGGTGTAGCCCCACCTCTGTGTAACTGCTTCAATCACGATGTATCTGTTGGGTGGTCCTGTCTCAATCTGAAAAGTGCCTGCCTGGGTGTAACTGTCCTTCTAACTCTGGACCTACCTCCAACGGTGTGTAGACCAACCTCTGTGCCTCTGATTCACTCAGTGTGCACCTGACTGTGCCTTCAGCAGGCAAGCTATTGGGCCGGAACTTTCGTGGCTGTACCCATCTGTGTATCGCTCTCCGCACCTGGGGCAGCCCTGACACCTGACACCCATTCAGTCCGTGCTTACCTTATGCACACTGGCGGTGCACTGCTTCGCTCCAGACCTCGTAGGCGCCGGGGCCTTGAGGCACGTGGGAGGGGTTGCGCCCACCGCCCCCTGCCCCTACTCCGGGTCGGCCCGGCATGCTCGGGCCCGCGGGGGCGGGGCCGGAGGCCG